GTTTACACGAATAAATGAGTAAGTTTATTTTGGATGAATTTTTTTGAAGATTCTAAGAACAACGAGTGCCGCAGAGGGCGACAGGCGGTCAACTGACGTGCACTGTAGCTGGCTATTCTTCTGATAAACCTCACTGGTCAACCGAATCAAAGTGCGCCCTCCCCGCCAATCCGCGTTGATAGGCTTTGCCTATACCGGTAGTACAGTAATAAGATATAGCTTTGTAGCTTTAAATGACTTCGCTCTATTAACCGTTAGCGATGGATATGCATCGAGCGCGAGCGTAGTGGTGGTGGTGGGGAGGGTGGGGATGGAGGTGGGGGAAAGGTTGGGAGAGGGCGGGTGATAGGGGGCTCTAATAGCAAAGCAGTTCAGTCGCTTTGTTAACAGTCAACAAATCCGATGTTTAACCCTCCTCTTGGGGTTCAAAAGGTTATGCAGAACACTTACTCTTCGCACCGTCAGTGGAAAGCAAACATTTCATGGTCCTTTCAATAAATGCGCATAAAAATGGTAGGTCACCGTTGAAAGCAAAAAAGTTTTTTCATCCGCCTCCGTCCAGACCATGTCCTCAGAAAATGTCTCTAAAAATCTGCCCGTGCCCCATTGACCTTTGACGACTGTGACCTCCAATTTCCGGCCAGTGGTGGCTTTTCGCCTATCCATGATCATACACGGACTATCAGCGAGCTCTAGTCAAGCCTAATCGTTTAGATTTGTTGCCGCAATTCTGCACTTTCCCCCCTTACTTAAGTTTAATGAAAGGGAATGTTCCCCCTTCTTTTATCACCTCTTTGCACCATTTGACCGCTCAGCTTCAACACCGCAAAACTCGTTGCAAAATTTACCCCCCAACGTCGCCCAAGAAATATCGTGAACCGTACGTCGCGAAAGCCGTTAAGAATTTTGTGCCTAACTGTTTGAGAGACGCAGCGGACGGACGGCACGAAGCGGCAACGGCCCTACAATGCAAACTTGCGAATTCTAAGCAAGCTGGCATCATGACTATGTGCAGATGAGCTTTAAAACCAAATTAAAATAGTGATAATGCCTAAGCGCGAGTTCGTGTTAATCACCACATACTGGGGCAGTAAGCTGCCTGCACATGCCATAGTATAGAATATAAAATTAAAAATACAAGTGTAAAATCAAAAAAAATGCATCATAGCTTTTGCATACTTATTATATTTAGTTTGTAGTAAAAAGTCAGCTTGATATTCTAGAGTTGACCAAAAGCGATTGTTACGTATATAAATGAACAATTAGATAAGGCAAATGTGTATATTTAAGACCCTATATATATAAATTATACAAGGCATATAGCGAAAACTGCCTGTGAATTGGCCGCACACCCAGTGAATTTATAATGTCAGATAAATATGTTAGCAGAAACCAAATTTATACCAAGTTCAAAATCCATAAAAAATTACATTAACCACTTTCCTACACTGGGCGACATCGTTCCAGAATCTTTTGGTGCAGCAACGTAAAACCCTAGAAAAACAACAATAAATAACATAAGCAGAATCAACAGTTGTCAACTTTTTCCTCATAGAAGCATACAGCGCAAAAAGCGCTTGTTTGCACGTAGCTC